ACTAATAATGATCCAACAACAAGTGATTTATATGAATTACTTTCAACACAATTAATTACTATTCCAGCTGGAAAACAACTTGCTCATTTACTTATATTAACACATCTTAATGTTAAACAAGATGTTAAAGATAGTATTTTGACATATACAAGTGATTTTTCTGTTACATATCGACTTTTAGAACAATGTGTTCATACAATTTTCTATCTTATTAGTCGTAAAGTTAAGCCAGTTGATGCATGTTATTGGTCATTAATACGTTGTTATTGTTCATCATTACAAAATCATGAACAATATAAATCATTTATAACTAAATTACAACAAACAATAGATAAACTTAATTTACGTTCATCATCTACAGTTTATTCAACAGCATCAGATGAACTCGATCATAAACAAGCTTTATGGATTCAAGAATCTCAACGTATTCGTTCGAAATTTATTTCATTTGAACGTTATCTTATAGAATTAATATTTAATATGATTAAAATATTAACACTTCGATAATAAATCTATTAAATTAACATGTGATCTATTAATATTATTTATTGATAATATTCTATTAATAATGACACCATCCGATCCAAAACTTATTCAATTAAAACAAATATTAATAAATAATGATAATTTACAAACAAATCTAGAAAAAGATTTATCTGATTTAATGCAAATAAAAAATATTTCTATTCGTATTGATTTAACACGATCAACAAATATAGGAAAATTAATACAAGGACTTATTTCCAATGGATCACTTTGGTTATGTTCAACATGTGAAGAAATAAGTACATTACTTGAATTATTTATACGTAATACATCTTTTAATGATACATATGAACGTCTTCAATTTCTTCAACGAACTATATCAATTATTGATGTATTTCATCAATTTTTTAGTTCATCAATTTTTGGATTATTTGATCGAAAAATTGAATTAACACGTTTATGTTCAAGTGTCATACAATATCTTCGACCATTACTTACATATAAAGATAAATGTTCTGTCTATGAACTTTTTCATGATTCAGCATTTATTGATGCAAAATATCTATTTCGTAAAAATTTACTTGAACATTTTGATAGTGGTCTTGTTTGGTCATTTGAACGTGTACAATCATTTCCAATACGATCAACACGAAAAGATCTACGTAAACTTATTGAACATATGATTAATACAACAACACATACAGATATGATGGCATCAATTCAATATTTTGCTACACTTCTAGAATGGATTAGTTTACAATGGACATTTGATGATTATCTTACAATAAGTGTACGAAATGCTCTACAAAAAAATGTTTGTATTACACGAGATTTTATTCTTGAATCAGAATTAAAATTTTCTTCATTGAAATTAAGTAATAAAATGACAAAAATAATTGGAACTCTTGTACGTAATTTACCATCCGAATCAAGTTCACTTAATACATATTATTCTCGTATAAAAAAAGATCTTGAATTAAAAAGAACTACATTAGAAAGATGCAATGAAAATATTCAAGAACTTGAAAGTCAAATTTCTGAATCAGAATTAGTAAATCAAAATGAAGTAAAAATATCAAATAAAGGAACTTCAAATTTACGTTCGAGATTATCACGTGATATTTCTGTTTTTCATCCAGATGAAAATCCTCTTAATAATCGATTGAATTTACTTAAACAAGAACAAACTAAATTAAAGTCAGAAATTAATACATTAAATGAAGAATATAATCGATATGATCGTAGTCGTACCACAATATTAGATAAAGCAATAGCTGGACGTGAAAAACTCTATGATGAAATGAGAGATTTACTTCAATCAGATGATTATAAATTTGTTCGTGAACGACTTGAACAACCTGATGCTAAACAACTCAATTATCTTTTACAATTACTTAATGAAGCTCGAAAAAATTCAACATTAATTAATCGTGAAGGTCTACTTGATACTCGTGCTGTACTTTCTACATCATTTGGTCGTGAATTAATTGAACATGATGATATTCTTGAATCATCTTTAGCTTTTTTTCTTTGTGGTTATTATTTTCTTCCTTATTTTGATCAACGATATCGATTTTATATTATTTCTAATTGGCAACAATTAAACGATGATATTAATATTAATACATTAAATTCACATGATTTAATTATTTATTGTCCAAATAAAAATCCATATGAATCTTGTTTATTATCAATAACAAAACAAAATAATTCAATATCAATTATTATATGGTGTGTACAAGATATATATATTAGTGATTTACATACCATATTAAATGAAACATTACCCGATGGAATTCAATGTCATATTAAACAAAAAGAATTTCAACATATAAAAACAACTATTACAGAAAATGGACAAGAATTATTTGGATTAGCTTGTTTAATGCATTTATATCAATCAGATGATATAACATCAACAAGAATTCATGAAATTTATGATCAAATTAAAATTATTTTTGATGAATTAAAATATTTTGTTGAACATAATGCTATTGAACGTAAACCATTAACTGCATTTATCTATCAAAATATTAATCGATTTCAATCCGAATTAGATTCACTTAATCTATCTAATAATTCTGATGATCTATGGTTAACATCAATACAACAAATATGGACATTTATTAAACCATATCAAGAAAAATTTTCATCAACAATAGCACAAAAACTTCAAGAAGAACTTCAATATTCAATACAATCAATAGAACCACCAAATTTAAGTAGTCGTTTAACATCTTTAGATTATTTAGAACCATTAAAAGAAAAATATGGTTGTGTACATATGATTATTCAATATTTAAGTGAAGGAATGAATTCAACAACTATTGAAAATATATCAGAATTTCATATATTATTTAATTTTATTAATAAAATATTAAAACTTTTAAAATTACTTGTTCAACATACAATATTTGGTAAAGATGATTATCTTAATGAATTATATGAGTATACACCAAATACAATTACACATTTAGAACATATTTTTCATTCAATATTATCCGTTATTAACATTGTTAATAATCAATTACAAATTGGTGTAACACAAACAAAATCTATATTTGATGATTTACAAACGAAACTTGATGAATATTTATCAAAATTAAAATTTAGTAATAATTTTTTAACAAGATATAATCTTACAAATTTAATTCGTCCTTTAGCAATATTATTTGATCCAAATCGACGTTTAATTAAAATAACTAATATATCA